AATTCTGTGGGCTGGTATATGCATTGTACTAGAGAAAGCAAAAAACCAAATCCAGCAATATTCCATTCTTAGGCTCATTCATGGTCACATACTTATCATAATACTTATAATGTGTATGTGGACCTAAGGCATGACACACAGTATCTTCTAAGGACTTTCTTCAATGTAGAAGGAGGCAAACCAAAAAAAGACAGCTTCAAATAGTTATTATAAACTTAATGGATTTTATTCCTTCCTCTCAAACTATTTTCACCCCCTCTAACAAGGAAGACATGGCTACATTTAATTTTTCTGTAGGTCTAAGAGTATGATCTAGAAAAGGACCATGCATGACCAATGTAAAAGCATAATCAGAAGAATAGTACTGATAAAGAATGAGGGTGAAAAGAGGACCTGAAAAGAGGGCTAAAACAAAGGAACATTTATTTTCCATTTAAAAGACACAAAGCCCTTTTAGAGTTTGAAAAACAAATCTAAAAATGACAGTGGCCCTGCCAAATGGAATTACAGCTTTAAATTGATAAACTAACAGGAAAGAGATGAAGAGAGAAGTCAGCACTGGATATTCAAAGGCAATTTTACTATCTATTGCTTTATCCACTCATTCACCCCCCCCACCATTTCTAAACTTGGGGAAGGTATACTTTTGTTCTTTGGATGTGGGGAAGTTACCACCATTCTATTACAACTTTCCCTACCACTTAAAGTGCCATATATATAGTCTCATCATCCAATCAAAATATTAAGTAGAATCTTTCTCTAATACATGAAAGTGATTTGAGTTCACAATTATTTTCCAAGTGAAGTAAAATCACCCAACAGAGCAATGCATAACTGATGGGGTTCTTTAAACATGTCTGCTAGTAATATTAGCATTAGGCCTCAAAAAGAGCCTAAACGCAAAAAGGTCCCCAAGAACTTATTACTTATTACAGCTAATGCAAGAGAGAATTTGCAAGCATAGCCCTTAGACATTTTGGTAGGACTTACTAGAAGTAGACCACCTCCCCAACTGCTGAGTGAAGAAGAACTCAAAATCGCTAGATAATTTTGGAACATTAACATCAACCACTAATTAATTATGAAGTAAATTACCTTTACTCTGTAAGACATAAGACTTATATGTAGATACAAAATGGAGAAGAAAAACACAGACATCTAAAAAGCTTCTGAACTACTAGATCTCATTGTTTTGCACTTCACAAAAAAACCAGAGTCAGTTGCCTTATTTAATATTTATCTGGAATTTCTCAACTGGCTTAATGTAAATATAAAAATAAATGTGTTTTCCCGGACCTTGGCATCCTCAGTAGCCAAATTAAAAAATATCCCCTGTTGAATCAGTAGTGACTTGGGTGAGTTTATCAATATTTCTGCCCCCCAGTCCATAGTAGCCTTGTGGGACATGGTTGCTTTTTATGAGTCCTCAGAAAAAAATCATCCTGGAACAGTACTGACTTTTAACAGCACTGCACTTTATGATTCATTGTCAGTTGGTTTAACAAACCAGCTTCTCTCATGAAGTATGGTCAGTTAAACTTGGTAATAGGCCTTATGAAAACAAAAGGATTCTTGTGGTCAAATAAGTTTGGGAGCTATGCTAGAAGTTAAAATGTGTTAAGCAAGTCCTATTTTTAAGACTGAAAGCAGAGCTCCTTGCAGGCAGATATCCAGGATCTAATTCTGCAGAGCTAGACTTCCTAGGTTCAAAAGCCAACTTGTACCACTTAACATTATTTTACTTTAGTGTTGTTACATAGCATTACTTTTTATAAAAAAGTATCTTAGTTTCCTCATGTATAAATGAGTGTAATAATGGTACCTATCTCATAAAGTTGTTGTAAGAATTTGGAAATAAGCTAATGAACAGATGATATGCTTAGAATAGGTCCCATAGTAAATCCTATAAAAATACATGACATTAATAATTTACGGTAAACCCTCAAGACTAAATCGATTTTTTTCATTAATTTGTCTATTCATTTAATTATTAACAAATAGGGGGAGAAAATATTCTTACTTATGTTCAGGTACTTCATAGATGATCTATGATTTAAAAAAAACAACTAGGAATTTCTCATCTTCTCTGTGGTATGCCTCCCCAACTCATAGTCAGGGATGTTTGTTGACCTGAATTCATATGACAGCCACCTGCTTTCTGGAACTCCAGTCTCCCCATGACATGGAACTGTGTTGAACTGACTGATTCTCTAAAAAATGCTCTGCTTTGCTGATATTCTACTTCCACCCGATGTCTTTCAGTGTTCTAATGGTTTTCTTCCATCCTCTTGCAGGAAAGTTCAGTTTGGTTATGTGTATGGCATGAGTGCCATAGGTTGCCTAGGGATTCACACTACTGAACTTCATGAGCTCTTCAGGCATGCCCACTGCCACGCGCATGAGCAAGGCGGTTACATTGCCTGTTCTCATGGTCATCCTGTCCAGCTGCTCATCTTCTTTCACTGCAGTGCAGGTGTTCAGGTAAAGCGACTGCCCCCGTCGCAGGTACGTCATCTGTATTGCCACACCCAGTGTGGAACAGTTAACTTTTCGGATCTTTTAGTGAATGGGGAAACTATTAACGGCTACAGACAGACTCAGGAAGTAGGTCAGTTTGGGTCAGTAACTGTTCCTATTTGGATGATTTAAATAATAAATTAACCGTTATCTTTGAAACTGCACTTTGTAAGTTGCTCATTCTTCAATATGAACTATTGTCCGGGGTGCTCTAACAACTGCAGGAAATTACCTGTTTGATTTGGAAGAGTGAGTGCTCTGCCTGGTGAACACTGACAAATTGCTTCGTTCCCAAGTACTCTGCCTTCAGGCAGGAAGCAACTGTTCTTTTTCTCACAATTCTTTGGTGGAAAATTCAGAACCCTGATGAGGATATTTATACTCAGAGAACTTTTTATAGCATATATGTTCAGCCAATAGATTTTTTCTTTTTTTACTTCCCGGGCAGATAGTATTTGCAATTCAAACTATTAATGAGGATCCAGTAGGTATTTTTCTTTTGGGCACTGGAGTTGTAGCATCACTACCACTGGTTGGGGAGAGCAATTACATAGTCCTTGTCCCCTCACATGCCCTTTAGAACCCAATAAAATGTTTGGTTATCAGTGCTCATTCTTCCATATCCAAAGGAGGCAATAATTTGCATTTTTTTCTTGACGATGCACATTTGTGTTTAACACTATATTGGATAGTATATTACATGAAGAATTTACCAATGCCAAAGAAGGTAGGCATTTAGGAGCATTTAATAGTTTTGTTTAGATATCTCATATAGTTTTTTTTTCAGAACATTATTGAGAATGACTGAGTTGGAAATGTTTCTTTGTTTTAATATGGTTTTATTTTTAATTTTTGTCAATAGTTTGTTTGAGAAAGAGAAAGAGAGAGAGAGATGGAGTGCGCTATGAGGGGAAGAGAGAGAGAAGACACAGAATCCTGGAATTTGTGCCCTGAGCTGTCAAAGGCCACAGAGCCCCAACTCAGGAACTGTGCGTGAAGATTATGACCTGAGCTGAAGTCAGATGCTCAACTGACCAAGTCAAATCAGGAGCTCAATATGGTCTCATTAAGTATATATTTTTTTTTAATTTTTTTTTCAACGCTAGCTTATTTTTTTGGGACAGAGAGAGACACAGAGCATGAACGGGAGGGGCAGAGAGAGGGAGGTCATTATGAATCGGAACAGGCTCCAGGCTCTTAACAGCCTTAGCCTGGACAAGGCTCAACTCACGGATCAAGGAGATCGCGGGAT